CCGGCATATCTGTGTTCTTTTTCTATTGTCACGTCGAGGTCTGAGAATGCTGTCGGGAAAGAGGAGGAGAAGTGGCAAATGCAGTCTGAGAAGACAGGCGGCGAGGATGAGAGCGAAAGAAAGGCAGAGAAAAGCATCGGGAGGAAGGAGAGAGGGGGAGAAAAAGGTTCAGGGAAAGAAGGAAGGAAGGAGGGAATGATGAAGGGAGGGAGGGAGGGCGGATAAGAGAAAGAGAGTGGCCAACAGTCGCAAAAACTAAAGATACAATAGAATTCGTACGTACGTGCAAACTCGATTTTATAACTATTTATTTAGCAACTTAAAGGTCGGTTTCAATTTTTGTATAATATAAAAAAGATAAATTTCATGTGCGCTGTTCAATATATACGTGCATATGGATACGCACAAACACATGCATACCTGAACGTATACAGTGTGTGTGTGTGTGTGTGTGTGTGTGTGTGTGTGTGTGTGTGTGTGTATGTGTGTGTGTGTGTGTGTTTGTGTGTGTGTATGTGTGTATCTATCTATATCTATCTTTCTATCGATCTATTTATCTGTATATGAACACAAACACCAACACAATAACGTGTACACGAAGATGAATAGGAAAAAAGCTATATTCTTTTCCTTTTCACACACACAAACATACACACGCACACATACACACATATATATTCCCCCCACTTTTTTTTTCTTTTTCTCTTTCTTTTTCTTCACACACACGCATACATCCGCATACAAATAAATAATGAAATATGTATATATGTACATACATATGTAAAAATACACACACACACACACACACACACACACACACACACACACACACACACATATATATATATATATATATATATATATATATATATATATATATATGTACTGCTGCGATAGCTCAGTGGTTAGAGCACTGGACTCCGACCCTCGTGGTCCCGGGTTCAATTCCCCGTCGCGGCAGTCATAAAAATGCCTGCGCTCTGACTGCTTGAGAAGTCAAACGCAGGTGTCGTAGGGGAAGTCACCGCCGTGGCACAGGTGTTAACGCGCCGAACCGCGGTTGATTAGGAAGGGCATTCAATCAGGCAAGGGTGACACTGCCATATAACCTCTCAATACTGAATTAAGAGAGACCGATGTCCTGCAGTGGATTGAATGGTTGTTGAAAAAAAAAAAAAAAAAAAAAAAAATATATATATATATATATATATATATATATATATATATATATATATATATATATATATATATATATATTATATATATATATATCCACGCAACTGGTGGATTCAAAGGAACGTCGTAGAGAGAGAGATTCATACGGTTTGGCACCAGCGGCGTAGCTTGCGACAACGAACTGGCTTACGGACTTTTTTTTCCTCAGGGTTAACTCACGAGTAGACACACACACACACACACATATGTATTCATATATATATATATATATATATATATATATATATATATATATATATATATATATATATATATATACATATATACATATATGTTTCCTTTTGACATTTCCTAACCCCACCTGTGTGAGTCATTTACAGTGCCAGTCGTCTGGCGTGGCAGCTCCACTCGCCGTAAAGCTGCTGAATATATGGAAGTCAGGGTGGGCTCACGCGTCGATTTTGCATTCGAGGAGGATGGAAAGTTTAAATAAGAGAGACAAGTGAAGGGCGATTGAATCACCTCTCCTCCTGAAGTGAGACACAAAGAGCGAGAGCGCGCGCGCGCGAGAGAGAGAGAGAGAGAGAGAGAGAGAGATAAGTGAATGGGGAATGAAAGAAAGAGAGGTGAGTGAACGGGGGAATGAGAGAGAGAGAGAGATGAGTGAATGGGGGAATGCGAGAGATTGAGAGAGAGAGTGAGGGAGTGAGTGAGAGAGAGAGAGAGAGAGAGAGAGAGAGAGAGAGGAGTGAATGGGGGAATGCGAGAGATTGAGAGAGAGAGAGAGAGAGTGAGTGAGTGAGTGAGTGAGTGAGTGAGTGAGTGAGAGAGAGAGAGAGAGAGAGAGAGAGAGAGAGAGAGAGAGAGAGAGAGAGAGAGAAAGTGAGAGAGAGAGAGAAAGGGGGGCGGGGGGAGAGAAAGAGAGAGAGAGAGAGAGAGAGATGAGTGAATGGGGGAATGAGAGAAAGAGAAAGAGAGAGAGAGAGAGAGAGAGAGAGAGAGAGAGAGAGAGAGAGAGAGAGAGAGAGAGAGAGAGAGATGATATAGAGTGATATAGTGATATAGAGGCAAAGAGAAATCATGAAAAAGGGAGAAACATATAAACAGGGTAGAAAGAGACAGGGAGAGAATGTTCAATTTGTGGAAATATTATGCACTAGAGTTTAGAGGTTATCCAGTTATGATTCACTTTCAGCCAGAATGAGAGTGGGGATACATCCTAATCCAATGAAATTACTTATTGAATATAGATGTACCGAGACACACACAGACACACTCACAGAAAGAGAGAGAGAGAGAGAGAGAGAGAGAGAGAGAGAGAGAG